TTGGCTCTGCTTTACAAGTTGTGGGGGCCATTTTGCTTGCTCCCCCAGTGCAGACGGCTGACTCTCAGCCGAAGGAAGACGTGTGCAAAAGATGGGCTTGGAGGGCAGGTCAGGGAAGGAGGCCGTGCTGCCCCTTCGAGTGCTCTCTGCTTGCCCAGAAAGGCTTCCCAGGCCTAAGACCCCGGCTGTCACTTCGGATGGCTCAGCCAGGTGCCACCTTCCAGCAGCTCCATCTTCTCTTGGACGGAGATCTGAACGAACAGGGGACGGTCCATCACGGCTGACGGGTAGCGTGCCGACGGAAGCCCTCCGGTTTGTCTGGATACCGAAAGGGCATTGAGCTTTTGCTTGAGTGAATGCCCAGCAACCTGGTTTCCCCATGGCTTGCAATTAAGTCGCCAGCCTTGACAAGCGAAACAAGCCAATGGGAATGTAGAGCAGGTGGGACCCCAAGATTTGGATGCCTTGGAATACAGAAGGGACCCGTGTGAAGGAAGCCGGGCTTAGGGGGGTCACGCACATTTCTGGCCGTTGGTCAGCAGCTCAGCAGCTGAGGTGGCTCTTCTCCACACCACGTTGCGGACAGAGAGAGACAGAGAGAGAGTTCAAGCCACCCAAGGGCCACCAAGTTAGCTGAAGAGTGAAATTGGGTATGAAGCTAGCTCTCTTTCACCCAAACAAGGGCGGTGGGATGGGTAAGGAGCATCTCCAGAGGCTGCTGGACTCCATTACCCAGCACAGAGCATAGCCAGGGTTGATGGGAGCTGGAGTCCGACAACAACTGGGGAGCTACATATTCTCCACCCTTGATCATAAGGAAATATTTTCTTTGCCACAGAATTGCTTGATGAAAGTGATAGAAAAGTTACTGTGAGGTCCAGGGAGAAGTAAGGAAAGCTTGACTCTGGGCCACCTGGATCCAAATCCCATCAACTCGCTGTGTGACTTTGCCAAGCCATGCCCTACGCTCAGTTCCTTCGTCTGTAAAACGGGAATACAAATGATCCATCCCACTGGGATACACTGAGAATTTAAAGTGTTAACTGTAATAGCCACAGGTCCAAGAACAGTATGGACATTTTGGGTTATTTCGGGGCATGGCAGATAAGATGAAACCGCTCGTCTTGAAACACAGTTCATGCATTTCCCACTTCTGCAATCTGTTGCAACGCCAACCCTGACTAAGAGCTTGCATTTTGCGTGTGTGTTGTCATGTGCACAGGCAAGCACGAATGGCTTTGTAAAACAGCGATAATCTCCCTGTGCAGTTTCTGGGGCCAATGAGCATTTGGGTGGCTCTCAGAGGATCCTGCAACCTTTTGTTTGAGAGGCAGCCTCCAAAATTACCCTTCCCACTAGGAACAGCACTGGGGAATATCACTGCTTAGGTCGCCATCAATGCCGATGTAATGGTAGCCATCAGTGATAGTCGCAGCTGTTAACACCAGTCCCCATCCTCCTCTCACACCTATTTGCATGTCAGGCAACTAATGTAAGGTTCTGCTTCCTCCCATCCCAGTTTTCTGACAGTGCCTCTCCCACCCATATGGGCCAAGAAGTTCAGATCAGATCAGGAAGGTGGTCAGAGCGCTTTCGGACAATGCGGAAATGATTGCCTTCCTTAATCAAGAAATGACAGCCACCTGCACCATGGAGTACTTTAAATCTCCGTCTTGCTGTTCTTCTGTGCAATTGTGCTATGCAAGGCTTACCGCTCTCACTAGCCCAGCATTTACAGAGGCATCAAGCCACTTCTGTTACGATCCGAAACTTATAATTTCAGATATGAGCCGAGCATAGAAATTATGACAAAGGGTTGAAATTAGGCTGCTGCCTGATGAAGCATTCCAGCAGGATGGGATGACCAGTTTGACTTTCAGAGGAAGAGAGAGGACCAAGCAATGCTGTGGAAAGAGTCAGGTCTTAACACGCTTGCACTGGGGAAGAGGGTGCATTGCAGCTCTCTTGGGAAAGTGCTGACTTCTGCTTTTGCCTGAGCTATGTGGGGCAGTCAGTGTGAATTCTGGAAGCTGTTTGATTATTTTAAAAATATCTTCCCAGGTCAGATTCAATCAAGTCCACAACACCAAGCCCATACCGTTGTGGTTTTGCCTATAAATAAAATTTGACAGGAAGGAACATCTAAAATCAACAACAGAATATTCAGGAAACTTTTCCCAGCCAATAGACTGTCTCCCAGGAGTGTCTGTCTTGGTAGTCTCAAAGAAAGACCGAGTCCAATGTTCACCTGGAAAGAAGAGTTCTGTGTGATTTGGAAGCTTGCTTGCTTGCTGGTGCAATGCAGTGGTTTCTCAGTTGTCTTCTTGGTGGCCTGGGCATTCTTTGGAAGTTTAACAGGTCCTGTGAAATCAGGGATGGGGGGACAGTGTGTCCACCTGCATGTATTCTCCCCCTACAAAGTGCTTCTGCAGGGGCATGTTGAGTAGGGTTCAAGATAGACTTTCAGTCCTCGGTTGCAAGACAAGGCAGTTTTCAGTGAAGCCTAACAGTGCCTGAATGGGCCAGACTATCAGCCCCAGAATCTTTGCAACGCAGAGGGGTTCTCCTGCTCTCATTTGACATATTAATATGGAAAGCATTTCCCAGGAATCCACAGGACTGGGGACTAAGTTACACAAACCTCAGGCAATTTGTATTTCCAAAGTGTGGGTGAGGCTGTCTAGACTGGGAAAATGGAGGGCAGGGAAAGGGTTACAGATCACCTATCCCCAGACCACTAATCTGATCAAATTTAGACTCTCACCCCCCTCCCTGCTCAGCAGCTGCTTTGAACCAAGACTTTAAATGCCAGGAGAGTCCATCACGGGTCTTGGGCTGTTTCCCCTAATCGGATCAGCACGTGAGTGGCTTTCCTCAACTCTTTGTTTCTTTTGCTTCCTGCCTCTAAAATGAACTCTTCTGACCTTCGCTATGGAGCTGGAGGCCACGTGGGCCCAGCATCAAGGGTAGGTGTGGTCGGGCATTTGCCAAGGGCCCCAGCAACAGGAACCTGTGGGACGGCTCCTCTCCCCCAGGGCAGCCTACCTGTTTGCCTGGCTCTTAATCTGGCCCAAACAACAGAGGTGGTGAAGAGGAGCAATGGGGGTGCCCCTGCCCGCATGACCCCCACACTGTGCCTGGCAGGACAGCGGTACCCGTGATGGGAAAGCAAGTACAGAGCGGGAGCGGCCAGTGACCGTGGCGGGGAGAAGGCTGGCTCAGGGAGCGAGGGCCTTTCCCAAGGACACTCAGAGCCAGGGTGGAGACAACCCCCTTTGGAATCTGTCCCTTCAGCATCCGCAGACTTCTTCTCGTGCTCCTCCCGATCCTGCAGAGTGAGCTGAGCCAAGAAGCCTGTGGATGCTCATGGACCCCTCGTGGCACGGCTGGCACCTTTCCCAGCGGAAGCAGCTGCGGGATGCAGGGAAAGAGAGCTGCAGGTAGAGCTGCACCAACCGCCTTTTCTCATAACCCACCTTCTCCCCTGGTCAAATGGTTCCTGTTCTAGGACTGGAAGCGTCTCTCCAAGACCTGCTGCAGGGCACTGCCCCATCAGATGCCCACCGGATCCTTTTCTCTGGAGTTGCCAGGGATTAATCTGGGCTACACACTTAGCCACTGAGTTATGCCTTCTCCCCGGTGTTTAAGACACGAGTGGGGCAGACGGAAGAGAAAATGAGATGAGGCTTCCCATACCCTCACACAGTCATGAAAAGGATCCAGTTCCCCCCTCCCCCCCCCCGGTGCTAAAATGGCATTGGTCCTCACAGCTGGGGTCGCCTTCCTCAGAAAGCAAGCACAGTGAACTAACTAGCACGTACCTTGAGCGCCCGGATCCGGGCAGCTCTCAAGGATGCACACAAGTAAGGCAGGACAGATGCAGGTGCCCCTGCTTTATCCCTGGAAATACAGAGAGATGCTGAAAGGGTTCCGCCAAGCAAACCAGGAGCGGCTTATTTTTTCATCCACTGGCCAGTCACCATTCTCCTTGCAGTTGTCGGGGGTTCATTCAGACAACCGGTTTCCTCCCAGTGAATGCTGGCTTCTTGGCTGTGAGGACTGTGTGGAATTACATTGTCCGTATTCTTCCCCTCTACTTGCCCAACTGCTGGTTGTCATTTGGGAGAGGTTTGTAATTGTCCGGCTCTCACCCTTGACAACACTCATTGGGGGGAACCGGGAAGAAGGGCCCAGTTCATTGCAACTGCTGCGATGGTTTGTGAGTAACGGAAGGTTGCCTTCTAGTGATGGAGAGTGTGAAACTGCACCAGGAAGGGCATCCTTGGCGCCTTGCTCAGCGTTTACTCTCATACTGCCCCCAAACTGCAGCCCCGTTCGCAGGCCGCAAAGTGAGCCCATGGGGCATGTTGTCTTTTTCTGTTCTTTTCTCTTTTTGCAGAGATTGGGAGATAGTTGACAAACTTGCAGATGGGATGAGAAACTTAGCAGGATAAGTGCCAGTAGCGCTACTTTCCCTACTTCCTTTTAACACCCCCATGTTCTTTAGGACATATTTAACCCCACTGGGAGTAGTGAGGAGCCTGCTGCAGGGGCCTGGGGAAGACCACGACCCCCAGAATGCCTGACTGGGGATGCTGAGGACGGTAGCCCTCATGCCTCTGCTTGTCCTACAAAGATCTGTGCCCCCCAAACCTTGCAGGGTTCTTCCCAGTCTCTCCCCCAGTTCTCCCCAGTTTCGCTTTTCCATGAAAATTTCTGAGCGTACCTTTCAGCACAGCCTTAATTCTACCATCCATCCCACTTTTGGCATCTTTGTAGATGTGGATGGAGTTGGACATTGCCGCAGTACTTTAGTATGGGAGTACTTTAACCCACTTTGGTTCACAACGCACATCTGCCCTACTTTGAAATGATTGAGTGAATCAGCCTTGGAATTGTTGGAATCTTCCCCATCTATGCTATTTTTCTCTCTGTGTGTGTGTTTCTTACTTTTTTGCTCGTCTTGACCAATAATTTCAAATTCCATTCGATCTGCACAGATATCAGTTATTTGCCAGATAGCAACAATTCTTGGTTATGACCACCTGTCTGCTATGAGATCTCTCAGGACGCTGAGGTCCTTGCGGCCCCTCCGAGCTTTATCCCGCTTTGAAAGCATAAGGGTAAGGGTTGTCATCTTTCAGTGTCTATGGAGTATGTGCACCTTAAATAATGAACGCTTTCTTTCTCTTTCTTACAGGGAATGTGCCATGCAAACTTTCCTTAACGTGGCACATGGCCGTTTCCTTTAATGCTCACACAGACCAAGAACAAGGCTATTTTCGCAGTACTCTAAGAAAAGGGCTGCCGTAAACATATTTCCAATGGCTTTTTTTTAATGGATATTTATGTTTATGCATATTTCAGTGACAATTTAACTGGTATTGGCAACATGGCTTTATTTTAAAAGGTAATGATGAATATTTGGGTCTTACAAAATGATTCATCTTGATTGCATAAAATGACAGCATTCACAGAATTTAATACATGCCAATATTGCTGCTGTTTCCGTTAGCAACAAAACCACGCACACATCCCCCCACCCACAAAAAAAAAAGTGCTTGAAGAAATCACTGTCCATGTCTGACTCTTTTTGCTGCCAACGGTTGACATCCATGTGGTTGCCTTGAGGAAAGGAGACAACATTTGGGAAGGGGATTCCTGCCAGAGTGAAGTCAACACATAATCCGGTTTCATTTTGCAATGGAAATCAATGGTTCTATGTCCTGAAACACTCCAGGGAAAGAATTTGTCTGTGTGTGTGTGTGTGTGCAGGTGCGACTCCCCTTCTCCCCCACCTTTGCTGGGTTAATGCAGCATTTTCCTTTGATTTAGGGTCTGTCTCCATCCGTTGATTAACCACGTTTATCTTTACAGGTGAAAATCCAGAGAAGAGAAATCGAATGGTAGGATTTGTGCTAATAGTCTGGACTTCTCCATTTTGTGTCTCCATTCAGGTCTCATTAGTAAGCCTCATAGCTAGTACACTTGGATACTCCGAAATGGGTCCCATTAAATCCCTTAGGACCCTCAGAGCTCTGAGACCCTTAAGAGCACTCTCACGGTTTGAAGGGATGAGGGTAAGGATCAATTAAAAACGACAACACCGGCCCCATCATTGGTACCCCTTCTGTCCATGAACACCGGCAGCATGTTGTGAGGGCCATGGGTCATCCACTCATCCGCTCATTTGTCCGGTCGCTCATTCATCCGTTCCATCATTGTTTTCCTTTTCCTTTTCCATCCCGGGCTGCATACATGAAGCAATGGATAATGCCAGATGTTGCGGACTGTGCTTCCTCTTCCAGCTTGCTTGTGTGGGGAGCTCCCAGCCCGGTGGACCCCCCAATGAGCTAATCCTGCTGAGCGCTTTCTCCTACAGCAGCCTGCAAACTCATTTCTGACTGAGGTGACACCTGGCTGGAAATCCTGCCGTGATTATGAGGTGCTTCAGAGAAAGCCGTTTCTCTCCCCTTGGCATTAATTTGCTTTCTAATTGATCTGCAGTGCTCTCTGCTCTCTGCGAGGCCCCTTGGAAGCTGAGGCGAGCAATGCCTTCATACCAAGCTTTCGGCTGTACCCTGCCTTTCTATTAAAAACATTGCTCAACATGGCTAACGTTAAATCCAGATTAAAAGCAAACTCTTAATTAAACATAATAATTAATAAATTAAAAGCACAATTAAAGACGCAGTAGTAAAACCCATCAACAGCCCCAGCCAATTAAAATCCTCCTCAGTGGCAAACCAGCCAAAGGTCTGTCTGAATGAAAGCTACTTTGTCGGCAAGTAGGAGAACAGGGCTAAAAAAACCCTCTCGTGACAGGGAGTGGCAGAGTCTGGGGGCAGCCCCCAAAAGGCCTTCTCTTGTGCCCCCCCCCCGCAAATATATCTCTGCTTGGGGAAAAACCAAGATCAGGCCCTCCCCAAAGATTTTAAGACCTTGGCAGGCTTGTATGAAAGCACGCAGTCTTCTAGGGAGCAGTCTTGGCTTCCAGCGGCTCTTGTGTTGGGAAATAGGTGAGAAATTCTGGTGTCAAATAAATAGAAGAGCAGTCTTAATCCCTTTTCAGGGTGAGAAGGAGGGTCTACAGATGCAGCCCCACATGTACTCAGCGACAAAAAGTCCCGCTCTGCGAGGCTTGCTCTAGGACTTTTTGCTGCCGATGCGTTCAGAGGATTGCTCCCCAGAAGGGCTGAGCAGCCTCCCCAACCTGCTTTCCTACAGATGCTCCCGACTCCACCTCGCCCCAGCTGCGGCCAGCGTGGCCGAGGGTCAGGGATGCTGAGAGGTGTAGTCTGAAGCATGTGGAGCGTGCCCAGCTGGGCGAAGCTGGGCTGGAGTCCTGGCGCGAGGTCCACGCCCACCCACCACGCAAGCCTGGTAGGCGCAGCAGCCTTTCCGCCTGCCGGTCTTGGATGCCCTGCGCGTCGGCTTGCTTGCTCTCGGCTTCTGGAAAGTCGAGCCAGGCAGGTCGGTGTCCGGAGCACCCAGAAGACGGGCAGGTGGGCACCAGCCCACGCTCCCGGCCCGGGCCCACTCCCCCGCACTCAGCTTGCACTGGGACCATGGCCGCTCGGTTTGCTCCCGGTCCAGAGCGGGAGTGGAGCCTGAATGGAAAGCCCCGCACAGGGCCATCAGTTGTGCATGATGCGCTTCGGACTCGAAATGGCCATGTGCTCACCCCGCCCCTCACAACCAACCAATGCAGAAGCTGTGCGCAGCGGCAAGATCCGGCTCCTGCCTCGTGTGCAGGGTGGATACCCAGCCACTGGCATGCCCCTGGATGGGGCATTCGTAAGACATGTTGCCCGGTGTCTGGCCGGCCACTGGAATTCAGGCACTCTGAACATTTGTCTCAAATATCAGGGGTGAGACTCCATTTATGGTCACGTGAGCCGCCCCAAGGCTCTGTTGCGATGGGGGCACCTCACCTGTGAGGTGAGCGAGGCTCAGAAGTGCTGGCGGCAGGCAGAGACCCCATACTGGGCTTCGCTCTGAATGCAGATCTCCCTCTTACTAATTTGACTGATGCCCCAATGAAACCCCAATATATTGGCAAACCAATTTCAACTTACTAATTTGGCTGATAAAAAGACAGTAATATATACCAGCCTTCCTCAAACTGAGGTCCTCCAGATGTTTTGGACTTCAACCCCCATCAGCCCCAACCAGTAGGTCCAAGAATTCTGAGAGCTGTGATCCCAAACTACTGCAGGGCACCAGGTTGGAGGAGGCTGATACATATGCAAATAGATATCTGAATAGATAAAGAACCAGTGGGGTTTCAGACTGGGACTCAGGAGATCTGGATTCTAATCGCCACTCAGCCAGAATTTCGGCCTAACCTACCTCTCAGGGTTGTTGTAAAAATAAAATGAAGACTAATGTCAGTAATCTGCCTTGAATTCCTTTGCGGGGAAAATGGTGGGATAGAAATTTAATAACAAAATGATAGCTATGCAATCCAGATTTAGTCATGGACCAATCCAGTGTTGGGCCTAGAGAATTCAATGGGACTTCGTCATAGCCCATTGAAATTATGGGATTTCAGTGAACCATGAATAACAAGTCCCATTGATTTCAGTGTGTTTTCTCTGCGTATGACGCTTCCTGGAAAGATTAAGACTAAATCTGAGCATGACTGAAGAACTTGAGGAATGATAACAAGGATTCCACAGAGGCAAGCCCTAATTGTACATTTACTGGACAGTAATCCAACCCCAATCCTAGGACAGGAAATGTTGCCGGTTGCAGCCCAACATGTCAGAAGGGCTCCAGGTGGAGAAGGCTGGGGGAAAAGGTCAGCAACAGAAGGTCACACTCCTTTTCCCAACGTTGCACCTGCCACATACCCAAGACTAACACATGTCCATCCTTTACCATGTGTTACTCTTGGGTCTCCCTGACACTAACCACTCCCTGCTCTTAAAAGACATTTTGAGTAGAAACAACATGATAACCCACCCTTGGGTCACTGTTGAAAGGGGTCAGGGGTTAGCATGCCGTGTGAACCCAGCTGAGAGATCAAACTATGGTGAACAACCCACAGTTCATGACCCAGCAACAATCCATGGGTTGTTTAAGGTCAACAAGCTATGGTTTCTTCACACAGCTTGGTTCAGACAACAGGATAAGCTGTCTGTGGCAAGAAGCCGCACTCACCTGCTGCGTGTGGGTTCTCCTGTTGTCCGAACCCCATCACTGCAGACTACAGCTGTATCTAAATGGTGGGAAAGGGCCAGGGGCCGCCTTTCCCTTGGGCTCTTCCCATTAAGGGAATGCCGGGATTAGCTACCTTCGCCTTGGGCTTCCTCGTGTCTCCATTTCGTGGCATGCATGGCTCACGGTTGCATAGAGAGCTTGGCTCATTTGCATGCAAGCGCTGGGGGCAGTCAGCTTAATGATCCCTCGAGGGCCGGCACCCTGTGCATTCATCGCCTGTGGGGGGAGATGCTTTGTGCGCCTGCCCAGTGGTATTCAGGAGATGAAATCGATGGCCTTCTCTCCCCTTCCCATTCTATGTTTCTACCTGCAGCATTTGCCACTACCCCTGTTTTCAAGATTGCAGAGCTAGTTGCATGCAAATAGAGGTGATGCAAACCTTTCCACAAAATTCAGATTTGCAAGCAGGACTGCAGATTTCCCTAAGACAAATACATTGTCAAGGGTGTGTGTGTACTGGGAGGGGAGAGAATTAAAAGAAAAGAAGTGTGTGCAGTAGGCAAATCTGGCTCTTGTTGCCCCCCTCCCTCTGTTTTAAACCATGCTCACCAAAGTGCCAAAGAATCGCTGATAACTGATGTTTTGTAACAACCAAGCAAGTATTGGGAGGAGAGAGTTTGCATTTGAGGCCACAGCCTGGTTTTCCATGAGATGCCTTTGCAATAGGAAATGTATTAATTACTGTGCTTCTTTGCAATTTCCCTTGTTTGTGAATGTGGCATTTCTGCACATCGGTGTGTCTGCCTGCACAGGAGCATTCCCATCTGCACTCCACTCCTTATTCGTGATGTGCCGTGTTTGCACATATAATTTTCTACCTGGTCGCATTACATTTGGGCCAACTCTGCTTGGAAAAGTGCCATATTGTCTGACAGGGCCAAAAATAAGGAGCACAGTT